ACATATAACTACTATTTACAGTAATTTTCTATTATACAAATACAAATTTCTTTTCACTTACTCAAGTAGATTTAAGGACCTATATAGGATGCAAGTAGTAATGTCTTTATCACTTCCTTATGTACAAATAGAATAAAAAACACTACAAAGCCGCAATAATGTAGACCGGATGGTAGATTTGTACAAAAGTGCACTAAATAAATTATTAATATATTTTTGTTTTTTATTTTTTTTATTTAAATACTTTTTTAATAAGGTAGGTTTTTCTTTGTCTTGCTTTGATTTTCTTTCTATAAGCTTTTTCATATTATCTCTTAGTTAGCACTGGTTATAACGTTAGAATGATTGAGCGACTCCTATTTTCTCTTATATTTACTTATAAGGCATAGTTGTGTATAAATATTACTTATTACTAACCAATTTACTTAACTTAGAAGAGCTACTCTGGGTATGTTTTTCTTTTACAGGGGTGTCGCATAAGCTTTACCGCGGTACGCTGTATATGATCTCGAGCCGGCTGTGTTTATAAACATCGTGGAGGATTATCTATTGTTCATTTATGTCAGGCGTCTCAAAGGACTTTCAAAGTAAAGTTTCGTTGCTGGAAAACTCTCTTTCGAATTTTTTTTCTACACCGTTCGATATGGATAGCGAAAAGAAGCATTTGCGGTATGTTATGCTCCATTGCCTTAAAAAAGATAGTAGTGCAAAGCGGACTGTAGGCGAAATTTGCAATTTGTAGGAGTGACACCACGACTATTGAATCGTCCGCCATTGGTTTAAGAAACTTAGAGCTGACTATTTTGATTTGAAAGTCGTTGATACGGACCTCATCGAGAGTATGCCCGCGGAAAATCTGCAATATAGTGTGCGCCAGATAGTGGATGCTATTCACGTTTCCAGGACAACAATACATAATCATTTAATCAAGATGGGATATATCGTCTATTTGTTTTGCATCAAAAAAAAGAAGAAACTTGTGGGACACCGTAATATTTAAACTTTTATAAAACACGTTTTCGCTCAGTGATTTGCTTTAGTAATTTTGGTCTAGTATTGTAAAAGGAATATCCTTCGCTTCCAATTACGTTAACGTACGAAAGTTTTTCCTTCCTTTTTTTTAATGTAAACTATTTCTATTATCTTTATACAGTGGATGATATTCTTGTTTCGGTCACCCATTTGACCTTGACGCATATGAGTGAGTCTTGAAGACCTACCACCTTAAGATAATACATTACAATTGTCAATTGATTAGACGGCCTTTCTAACTAATGCTAAGAAATACAATGTAAACTTTATCTGCGTCATGTTTTAAAGAAATACCTTTGGTAGACAGTAAGCAAAGTTTTTAATCTATGTTACAATATCTACAGGCGTAAACAAAACCACTTTTTTGCTTCATTTTAAGCAGCCTTCATAAATGCTGCGAATTATAATTAATAATTGTAAAGGAGGATATATTAAGATTATGCGGATGTATGTAACATTAAGACAAACTTAAAGCAAACCCGGACTTTTGTTACAACGACGAATTTGGAAATTTTAAGGAATTTAAACTGCTATTGAAAACGAATTGGATAGGAGAACTTTTTTGACCACTCCTTTTTTCAAACAGCCGTTGTATGAAAACAAATTGCCATTTTCAAAATTCTTCGACAAAAATCGCTAAACACTAGTATTTCGGCACACTAACTAACGTGAAAAATTTTAATGGCAATTTCTTGATCTTTCTTCGATCCGATGGGTCTTTTTTCACTATTATGAATACGATAGTAAAAGGATTCTGTTATTATTATATTTTATTATATTATATTGTATAATTATATTTTGGAGAATAATTTAAGAGACAATATTTTTGTTTTTTATTCATGCATTATGCTTTATAATGCTGTACTAGTTCTTAAGCTCGAATTAACTATGATTATACCCCCATCGAAAATAGCGTATATTCTCTTTTTGTTGAAACATTCGTAATACGCAGAATGAAGCTATATACTATTCTTGATCACTATCAGACTAGTTATTTCTCTGATCAATGTGGAGATTGATCCTTTGCTAACAATTATTTGCAATGTACATATATAGGGCACCGAAGGTTGATATAATATTGTGATCAAAGCGAAAAACCAATATTAAACTTAAAACGCGCGGGTATATCGGATAAAACATTTTTTTTTTTAAATTGTAACTGACATCTGTGTTGAATTTCACATCACAAGCGTTATTAGTGTCAGCTGTGCTTGGTTTTATATGACGCAAAAAGTATTTTTTCTGAATTTCACAATGTGTAATTTTATTGAATGAAGAAGTCGCATTCAATTTTGCTTATGAAGAGAAAAAAGGGATCAGATTTCGATTTTCGCATATGTCCCGAAAACTGCCGATTAATTGAGCGAATATAGGGTAAACGGTGAGCCAACACCGAAAAACCGCACCAAAGTCGCTCAAAAATCAAAGTGATGTTAACAGTTTTCTTCGATCGGGGCAAACTGGCTGAGGAATATTCCGACAAAATAGATTAGTGATAATAAATAGATTAAAAAAAATAACTATGTTGCTTCAAATCTAGCCAAAATATAGGAAGTTGTTGCACGCAGCTTGTTATGAGAAGTGGACCCGATGAATCGCCTACAACAATAAGGTGAAAACTCTTCTGTTTTCAAAAGCGAACGGGTAAGAAAAATACAAATTTTCAGACTTCATATTATTGCCTGGGCGTGAGTGTTCTTTCTAATCTCAAAATAAAAGTGGAAATTTGTACGGTGTATGTGTTGTACTTTATGAGTAACACGGAATGCAAAGGTGCTCGCAGCTTTTGTTGAAAAGGCGTGAGAACGTTATAGGCGCGTTCTTTGATTGGTTTGGTTCATCATTTTCTTGCAAGTTTAGGATATCTTAACTTTTGCGAACGGGAGAACATTTACCCCAGTTACTACACAATTGCGCAGACGGACATGCTTGGATCCGAATTTGAAACTAGGTACGAACTTATATATTTTACGTGGTTTTTTAATTTTCCTGTGTGCTTTATAAAAGTTTTGAAATGAAAATGGATTGTTGACATATTATAAAATTAAGTAGACGTGGCCGATTTTTGTAGAGATACTACAGATATCGCCCTTGATATATATGTTCAAATGTTTAGAAAATTTATCTGCTGTACTTTATTATTCCACGCGCTATAAAGATATTGAAAAAGAAAACTGAATTTTGACACATTACAATATTGAATAGGCGTGGCCAATTTTTCCCATGTTTGTACAGATAACGCCGTCCATACGTTCAAATTTCTGTAAATTTATTTTCTGCAGTTTATGAGTAATTAGTCATTTTTATGGCCGGGAGAACGTTTATAACAAAAATTACCGAGATGAGCAAACAGGCATGCTTAAATAGATTCAGAATTTGATGCTGATCAAGAATATATATTTTTTGTAGGGTCTCTAAAGCTTACCTCTAGCCGTTGCAAACGATTTAACAAAACGAATATACCCCTCAACCTTCGGTGAAAGATATAAAAAAAATTTTACCTAAATAAACACCGATGTTGATACACTACATTAGCTGTGGTGCAGGGTATATCCAATTTGTACGCATGTGTGCAACACTTAAAAGAACTCGATGAAAGCCCACCTTTCGTAATAATAATCGATCCAAAATCACTTTCTGAATTGATGTAGGCTTTTTTGTCAATCTATTGATTGTCCATGTATTCTTTTCTTGAACCTACAGATTGTAATTTTTGTGGAAATTTGGACACTGGCATGTATGGTTCAAGAAAGGAGTCTATTCAAAATGGTTCGCATAGGACCACTTTTTTTACCACTTCCTGTAAAATACAAAAAAAATATAATTTTTACAATTTCGCGACAAAATTCCCTGAGACAGGATACGCAAGCTGCTAATACTTGAGTACATTCACTAACAGAAGGTAATAAAATTTTATAAGCGTTCTTTTGGGCCAATTATGTACAAATTTGGCAGCCATCCCTGTCGACGGCATTACAAATGGGAATTAAGCAACAAAAGTCTTATAAGATTTTATGACGTCTATCACGTCAAATGTGAATTTATCGGCCTCGACTAAATTCAAATTACTTCCACTGGTTTTATTAGACTCATAGTCCACTACACATTCATTTTCCGATATACTTTCATCGTCGATATCATTCCCATCTAAATGTTAACCAACTTAAAAAAACTTTCAATATTTTCATCTAAAATATTTTACATATTTTATTGTGTTGTTAAAAACCTTTTTTGTATTTTCATACCATCTGTTGTATCCATTTTAATTTCTAATTCAAGTGATATTAATGTGATGTTAAGTTAGAAAGATTAGATATATTGGCTATAACTGATGATATGACTACTTGATGATTAGTTTCGAACACTCCAGCCAAAGCTCGTAACATTCGTGACATTTTCTGCATATGCTACAGGTGTTTCTCAATTCCATTACAGTTCGACGCAACTACCACGGATTATTTTCTATACTGTCTGAAATTATTTCCCGCTTCCATTACGGTTCGACACAACTACCACGGATTATTTTCTATACTCTCTGAAATTATTTCTCGCTTCCATTACAGTTCGAGACACGTACAATGGATTATTTGCTATACTCTCTGAAATTATTTCTCACTTCCGCTATAGTTCGACACAACTACCACGGATTATTTGCTATACTCTCTGAAATTATTTCTCGCTTCCATTACAGTTCGAGACACGTACAATGGATTATTTTCTATACTATCTGCAATTATTTCTCACTTCAATTACAGTTCGACGTAACTATCACGGATTATTTGCTATACTCTCTAAAATTATTTCTCACTTCCATTACAGTTCGACACAATTACCACGGATTATTTTCTCTACTATCTGAAATTATTTCTTAAACGTACGACAATACAATTTTTTTCTTAGTAAAGCACGTTATTCTAAGCGCGATGAATTTGTTACATACAGATATAAGAACATAAGTGATTACTCACCGTGTAAGTTAATCGTGCACGTAGTATTATTGCCACGATCCAAAACAACAACGCTCGTAGCTGCTGCGCCTCCCGTCGCTGCCATTACCCCACTGTTCGCAAGAACGGTAGGACGTCGACCGCGCGGCAAAGTGACGGATTTTTTGTTAAAGGTCCGTAAAAGAAAATTATGCGCGCGCAACTAAGCCCGCAATTAAAATAACAAAAATGCAACAGACACTTATTTGGCGTGCCTTTTTTTTTGATTGTTTATTTATTTTTGCTTTCAACCAAATAAATTTAAATTGAATAATCCAACTGGCAAAAACTTTAATCTTAGAATTGCCTGCTTACCAAAAGCGCGACTAGTTCACCTTGGAAGACTGGAGTTTATCACACAAGCAGTAAATTTGCAATTATATGAACATATGTTTAAAGACAATGAATAGTTTAGTTTGTTGTGGATGATAAATTTTCTTTGCGCTTGTCATTAGCTCTTTAGGCGATAAAATAGTCAATGTTTTATTTGTTTCCTTTTGTCGTTGAAGTGGAAAATTACGTTACACGCCTTGGACTTGGCGAATACGAACTTTTACTCACGAGCTTTTACATACGGACAATTTGAACACATAATTATTCCTGAGCCTTTCTAAATTTTTATAGCTTAATAACTTTGCTTATGTTCTGCGCCTGTTCATGGCTGCGGGTAATCTTTACATCCTGTATGTGTATCATAAATTATTTATAAAGACTTTCCGAAAAATCAAAACTGCCGGATCTCTCACAAGAGTCGAGCCATTATTAAATTTCAGCAAAGGTGAATTGATTCAACTAATGCAGCAGTTCTAGCAAAAAATCTTCGTAGACAGAGAGCCAGATAAAGTTTGGCAGAAATTTTCAAGTACACCTTTAAAATTCATTAAATTGTTAAAGTAATTTCAAAAAAGTTGTCTCCCATATTTCAATAATAGGAACAGTAACTTTACCTTGATCTAATGAAGATAAATGGTTTAACAACAAATTGTTCTTTCAGATATTTTTTCGCTTACGGCAGCTTACGGAAGTTGGTTAAGTTTCAGTTAAGCAAAGATGATCTCTGATTACGATTATATACAATATTACAATATTATTGGAACAAAATGCCATTTGGATGTTACGGTGCGCAGCGAACCGCAGCTTTATTAATTTCCATAAAGGGGTTTCAAATCTAGATGTGAAAGTAGCATCAGCTGTGGAAAAAGAACAAGAAAGAGTACATGCTGCCAATGCCTGGTCGAATAAGGAATCCTTCTGCAGCTTTATTAAAGATATTGTGGATAAATTAAATCTACTGGTCTTTTGTTTATAAATTGAGGGAATTCCGCTTTTCCTAAGGAAATCCTTTGAGGTTCACTAAAGTACTTCGACTTTAATGGACGCGGGATCTTCTGCTCTACCTATTTTGTTCTTTCTCTTTAACAGTTCTTTTTTTAAAAATCGCCCATGTTTAATGATTCAGCTTAACACAGTAAGGGTTCTATAAAGTGCTCTTTTTAGAACTTTTCAACTAATTTGAAAAATCGTTTTCTAAAGTTAACGGTTGCTGCTGAAATCTGTTTACAAGGGGGTAATCTTTACTTTGCGCTCCCAATGCAAATTCCGCTACACAAGCACAAAACAAACACAAACACTACGTCGTGATAGGCGCATACATACAATCTGTCCACCAACTCACCCAAGACAATAGAGGCTGTATACTTTAAGTCACTAATTCGTGATCTTTTGAAATATACTTCTACACTTCAGCTTAATAAAAGGCAGGAAGTTTCGCGAGCAAAATATGTGCATATAATTACAAAATCACTAAATTTATTTAATAAAAACCTAGGCCTATCCGCTTTTTAATATATTTTCTTTAATTTAAAAAATATTTGCACAGTTTTCAATTTTCAATGAAATTTTTTGAATTTCGTATCATTGTATTTCTTGAAGCTTAGGAAATTTTATATATGCACTTATGCATGTATGTATATATATATTTTTCTACGTCTACGCTTTGCTTTTCTTGTTCTTTGTTCATATTTTTTCTAAATAGACGTAAGTATTCATAAAAACAGCTGCGCGGCGTTGTTTTTTGTTTTGATTCAGTTTTTTGTGAATGGAATAAAATACAAATGCAAAATAACAGGGACACATTCACCAACACGGATGCTAACAGTACAACGATACGAATTGTAATAAAGATTCAAAATAACTAAATGAAAATGGTGCCACGAACAAGACATGGAGCTCACACACCGCTCGCAAAGCGTTGCCGTCCACAAGAATTTTTCTTTCAGTATCTAACAGTGTCGAAAATATTTTCACACCGCTCGCAAAGCGTTGTTGTTCATAAGGATTTTTCTTGTAGTACGTGACAGTGACGAAAAATTTTTCTGCGCTATTAGAGAGAAGTTTAAATTATTATATTGCACATATTGCAAACATTTTTGCTTAAAAGCATTCAAGTTGAAGTAAAAAGGAGGTTAGTATGCAATTTCGTAGAATAAAAGAAATTGTAACGTCATAATTAAGCATAATGTTTGTCATATGCGTTTTGCGTGGCGCGCGAATGCTGCCAAGTAATAAAAAATGTAAATAAAAGAATTTGGGGACTTTTGCCGACGGCTTTGCAATTAACATAAAGTGTTACGTTGTTTTTGTAATTAGCATAGAGTATTATGTTTGCTCCGTAAATACCAGAAAATTTAGCTACTGTTTTGTTTAATTTGATAATAAAAAAAAATTATGGCGGTCTACTTTTAGGCTAACTTGTAAAATTAAATAAGTTGAGTTCGCGTATTTTCCAAAACACTAAAACTCTAAACATCTAGATGATAGAACAGCAAAAGCAACAACGACCAAGTGAAGGAAAAAGAATCGGAAACAATGAGGAAACCTTTAAAGAAAATAACAATTTCATTTATATATATATATATATATTTTTATATACGTTAATAAAGTATCTTAAATGTATAATAAAGCTATTATATAAATAAAGCTATTTATTTTATTTATATTTAAATATAAATTATATAAATTAATATACAGCAACAGCAAAGGCCAGTTTGATTTTCCCAATGACAAATCAAAGCGGTTGAAAAAGACGATGGTTATATTTTTATTTAGAATTCTTTCCTGCTTGTTAAAGTTGTCTTGGAAGATTTTTTCTCCTTCCACATCATCTGTAAGTAACTTATTGACAGATATATATCAAGTTTTTCTGTTTACTTCCTACAATGCGTCCACATGTTTATTATTCCCCATATCACTTGCGCAGTATATTAAGTTCATGCGAAAGTGCAAACCACAAAAAATCTCAATCTCAAGTAATCATTTATGTGACGAAGAGGTTTATTAAATGTTTTGTGATGAAAATTAGTCCATTACAACGATTTTTCGGACCCTACTACGCATAAGGGTATTTATGTAATTTTCGGCACTTTATCATGAAACAAATAAAAAATGATACTAAGTGTTGTAGAGTTTTTAATTGTCACCCTTGTCCGATTATAATCGTTTTACTCTAAAAATGATTCTTTAATGCCAGCTCAGATGATTTTTCATATCACCTTTGGCTGAATATTATGTTTTTACTTATTTTTAAAACGAATTCATTAAGATCAGTTCAAAAAACTTTACATTACCGCGAGAATATATAGATCTTAAAGAATCTGCAGTAAGGTTATTGATGTTATAAACAAAACATCCGGCCGAGTGACCGAGTAGGTTAAGGATCTCCACTAACAACTCCGTGGGTTCAAAACTGAAGTTAGGTGGAGTTTTCTATAAAACCGATAGCTAGTGCTTTAGGACTTTATTCTTTGAATTTATTTCTCTGACTACATTAATAGTAATAATAATAAAATAAACGAAATGATCAAATTTATAACAAATCTGCCTCAGGACCGGTTGTAGATAAAGAAGCGTACTAGTTGTTTGAATTTACCTTATTAAGCTTGCTTTTTCTGGATGTTCAGACGATTTTGGTGTATAACCTAGATTATAAGCACAATACGCTCGTAGTTATTTGTAATATACTCTAACATATATTCATCAACTTCAAGAAAGCGTCCCTCTAATTTGGGGTAAGCAGATACAGCATTTTCCAAAGATTCATGCAGATAGCGGTCCGTTATTTCAATTAACACTAAAGAAATCTTTTGGATAATTCCATATTATTCGGCGAAGTTCCGAAAAATGCATGCTTTTAAATTTCGATTTAACTTAGAAATAATTCAAGATAGTAAAGAAAATAATCCGTGGCAGTTGCGTCGAACTGTAATGGAAGCGAGAAATTATTTCAGATAGTATAGAAAATAATCCGTGGTAGTTGTGTCGAACTGTAATGGAAGCAAGAAATAATTTCAGATAGTATAGATAACAATCCGTGGTAGTTGCGTCGAACTGATTTGATATATTCACAAGGACAAAGCAAAGAGTTGGATTGTGCTGCGAATTTGCTCTCTCAACTGTAAAGCCGTTAAAACAGTTGTTTGCAAGACATTCATTGTTTGAATTCGAAGGAATATTTGCAGAAGAGTTGTATTCGATGATCATTTCCTCACTGAAAGAAAACATAGAATCATTTTCCGGTACCATAATTTTACCACGCAATATTTTGGCTATCATATACCAATCATAAGGGAATTAGATAGACGCAACTGACAACTACCTAAGTTTCATTCAGAAATTCTGCATAAAAATTTAGTTTTTTATATTTGGGTATTATTTTTAATTTGTGGTAACGAAAAAAATAATTAAATGCTTTGAACTTATAGTTTTTTTTTTTTTTTTTGGTTCAAAGTATTGGTTGCTCTAAATATTTCTTTCAAACCTTCCCTCACCCCCGCATTTCATTATTCCTGCTTACTTTTTTTAGATAGGGAAAAGTACAAGTTCAAAGAAAAAGTCTTTGGTCATCTTCTTAACATCGCAAAACATAATTTTTATTGAAATTACGAAAACCGGATCTACATTTGTTGTTCTAGCTTAGATCGCAAGTGGTTGTTCTGTACCATCTTCATGATATTTAATGTAGATTTCACCGTCCGTAAAATCCTTCGTATCTTCTAAATGCCCAGCAATTTGCTTCCTCTATATCATCGCGATGTTTGCCTACTACCACTTTCTTTCCCGTTATAAGATCGGTTATATCGTCTAAGGAATAAACAATCTTTTCAACCTTATGCGTTGATTGTAACTGCTCCAAGTCGGACATCAATACCAACAATTTACTCTCGTTTATAAGCGACAATATTTTCTGTAAACCACTTTCTTGCACATTAAAACGTCCTCCTTCTTTTATAATACCCATCATAGCGCAAACATACATTCTAATTCCAACAAGAACAACAACAAGCAGCTAAAGATGCAGGAAATTATAATTGAATTTTAATAAAATTATAAAGAAGAACGGAGAATAGGAGGAGGTAGCTGGTTTTACAAATTAAACTCTTTGAATTATTCTCAATTGTAAACAAATATAGACTGACATTTTGAATTATTCTTAATTGTAAACAAATTCAGACACTTATTCTCAGATGTGATCAAATTTAGACGCTTACTCTCAGATGTGACCAAATTATTTTTGAGTTACTCTCAGATGTGACCAAATTCATAATCATTTTTTCAATGCAAGGGGTGATGTTAACAAATACAGACTGACTTTTTGAATTATTCTCAATTGTAACTTTAATAAAAGGCTATTTATGCTCTGAAGTTGCAAAATCCTGGCCCACAAGTATCTCCAACTCGAATTTCCGAAATACGAAGTCACTGCAATCTTTTAAAGGCTTTTTATCTCGGCATCGAGGTCTTCATCTAAAACCGACTTTAGGTTCTAATTCATTGTTTTCTTCTAGAATAGAATATTTTCGAATACGCGGGAGAATAATATCGCAGACGCTAATCAATTTACCCCAGTTGCCATTTCCTCCGCTGCTATCAGGCAGGTGTACTATTGTGTAAATACACATCTGTATATTGTTTCTTAATTTTTTCGCAAAGTTTTCGCTACTATATCCACTGATCGCAAAGTCATGCCTTCAAATTTTCGATCGGCAAATTGATTCGCATTGATGACGAGGCTTTAAATATTTATACACAAATGCAACAAACTCCTCACGCTTTACCAAATATGGAATTTACCAGTAGGTAACTTTTTTTTGTATTAAAAAACTGAAAATTTTGTGTTAATTAAATTAAAATTCTTAACTAAATGACAGAATGGCCGCTGAAAGGGATATAGAAAAGTCGGATTTCAACACGCATAATAATACGGTATGTGTCACTATAATTGTTTATTGTTATTGTTCTATGGTGAGGAATGTTTTTGCAACATTTATTCTTTTTCCTAATTCTAATCACAATGAAGAAGCAACAAGAAAATGGAGTTTCGACTTTCAGGTGCGCCATTAACGACTACTAATGACCAGTTTATATGGGAACGCATTACTCATCAAGAAATCATTGTTGCACCAGAAGTGTATACTTTGACGCGAAATGCGCACGTACATTCGTCACTTGTTCAGCCGACACCTTTAGATTTACTCATGGACGATAGGGCTGAGCGTGAAAATCATACCATAAGTGGCTTAGCAACTGATATCGATTCTTGCGATGGGTCCCACTTTGGTAATTCATCCACTTTAGCCTTATTCAAGATTCCTGCCAATCCAATTAACGGGACTACAAGTGAGGCGGCTGTGCCGCGCAAAATTCGGTTTCGCAAAAGACAGCCAAAAATTACAGGTAAATTTCGAAATTTTTAAAATAGGCGGAAAAGTTTAGTTTATTTAAGCTTCGCAACTCTGTCGCGCGTTGATAAATTTTTGTGTTGAGGATTTTTTTACAATTTGTCTGTCTGTTCTTCATAATCTACTTCTGTCTTTGCTACTGGACATGGAGTGTTTATAGACACCTTGCCGGGCGGAAACGGGCCCGGAATCTGTTAGATTCGTTTCGTGTTGGCTTTGCAATCGCTTTGGCCATGCAAAGTGTGCCGGTATCATCGGCCGTGCTGCTGATGCAATCGCTGACCTCTCGAAGGGATTGCGATGGTCATGTCCTGACTATAGTAAGCGGGACA